ATAAGTTAAATATATCATATTAAAAAACTGTATACACTGTTATTATGATGACTTTTATTATGTCATTTAATTATTCGCATATAGAGATAATTTTTTATCAACGGTCAATTTAATATTGTATTATTAGAAACCATATTTTCTCTGCCATATTGTCGAACTATTTATACGTATTATTATAATTTATTTTTGTAAACGATTTTAACTTATTTGACTTCGTGTCTGTGAAATCACAAATTAGTTATATGTTCGTGATATATTTGTATAGGTAAGAGTACATTGTCTTTTTTGTAAAACTGTTAAACTAATACAAAGTTTGTGATTTTTATTAATCGATATTAGTTTAAGCTTAATAACTTAAGATAACCGTACACCTATTAATTATTTCAAATATTGTATATACATCATGTTATATAAATAAAAAAAAACAAATAAAACTTTATCGCCTTGGTCTTATGTTTCTATACTGATAACATTCAATATTTAAAGAAAATACAATTGGTTTTATACTTATTTCAATGGTTTCAGTTACCAATTAATTTGATTTTTGTTTAATTTTTAATTATTATCATATTGAGAAAGTTCAAACAAGTTTGTTTATCATACATTTACCATTCGAACACATTAATTGATATTGAGTATTGACTAATAACTTCAACTTTATGTTCTAGATACTTCGAATTGTTCATAACTTAAAAGTCTTCAGAAAATATTTGCTTATTTATAGTTCTTTTTATTTACTTAAATACATTTACTTTGTATCAACATTTATTTTTGTTTATGTCGATAAAAAAAAAAAAAAAAAAAACTTAATAACTTATGGTTTGTACTTTGTAATATATTTTTATTATAACACATGTTTCTTCATTTTGAACAACTTAAACAACTTATTTTTTATTTACATATAAAACATAAACAAAACGTCATATTAACCATTAATTTTATTTCAAATATGATCTAACATATCTATTTTTAAAAAAAAATGAATTATTTTTCTTGATAAAATATTAGAAGATATATTTGTCTTTACATTATATATTTTTATTAACTACGATTATTTAGTTTTGATTGAATAAAATAAATTATTTTTATTAATAACTATATAAAACTTATTTATGAAGTCTATTATTCTTGAACAGCAGTCATATTTAAAAGAACCAAAAATCAATACAATACTATACTTTATGACTTTTTATATCACTGTCTAATTTAACTAATTTATTTTATAAAATAATTTAACTGGTGACAAGTTCACTGCCTTACTCAAAATTATGATAATAAATATTTTGTACCTATGATTCAAGTCAAATTTCATAATTATTTAATTAATATTTTTTTTAGTATAGTACTATAAAAACATAAAATGATAATTTATTGTTGCAAAACCATAATTATTATAGCATTAGAATGGTAAGAAAAAAATAATAAGTTTTTAATAAAATTAATAAAATACAACACAAACTGTTTATTTTGTAAATACTTATCGGCTACTGACCACTTATATATTGTTCTTAACACAAATAAACCTGTATTTCCTATAAAGAATGGTGTACTACTAATTATCGTGTTCAATTATAAAATAATTATAACTACTTTACTCTTTTCTTATATCCAAGTCTAGGATATTTCAGAAATACGTTTTTGAAGACTCCATTTTAATGATAGATTCTTTTTGCTAGAACAGTGTTTCCCAACCGGTGGTCTGTGGGCCAGTCATAGGTGGTCCGCGGTACCTTTCTTCGTGTTCTATTAAAAATTATTTATTTTTTTTTTAACAGCGAAAAATATTTTGTTTTACGCCGTAATATACAGTTATCTTATCGTTGTTTCTACCGACGACCGATAAGTATTTTCTACTTTTATAAGTGTCTCTGATACCTATCAAAGTAATAAATTATACTATTATCGCGACCGATAATGATCATGTCAATTTCAAACATCGTTGCTTATATATTTATACTTTATGAGTACCGACAAATAACTGTTATGGATATTTATTCAGTATGCGCTCATTATTCGTTTGATTACCACGTAGTACGTTTTGAAAATTAACATTTTTCGATAAATTTTGTGTATTTTTGTTAATGAGCAAAAAAAAAAAAGGTCTTCCTAGTTTGCGTGAAATTGAGGTGGTCCGCGACCTATAAATATTGTCGAAGTGGTCTGTGGTGGTAAAAAGGTAAGGAAACACTGTGCTAGAATAATGATTTTCAAATATATTCACATTATTATACATATTTATGAGCTAATGATAAGAAATTTAGTGACTCGAACAATAATTATTTAAAAGAATACTAGAAGTAGCAGTTGTTCACCAGACGTTCATCTAACAGTTCGCCTATCGCTTCGTCTAAATCGTCAATAGAAACAATTGCATTTTTACTTCAATGAAAATAACAACAAAAATTAATTGCATTTGGATTTTAATAGATTTCAAAACAAAAAATTCCAAATTACAGATAATGAAACAAAGACTGAGATCTGGTGCGAAACTTTTTATTATTATGTAAAAATTTTTGTAAGTTTTTGACTTTTTGTTTGGAAGTAATGCATAAATTAATGGATGCACTCCGCGTAAACTTTTAACTTCTATGACATATACTTGAACAAATAATAATGGTACTACTTTAAAAGTACTATCTGTTTATCATGCGCCAAAATCCCTCAAAATTTCAAGAGCAATTGGACGTCCAAAAATTAAAATCTTTTCAATTTCTTGAAAACTATCAAATAACAAAAACTTTTCGTTAATATCTACAGATGAAAAGTATAGTTGAAATTGTTCAAGTATTATCAATGATTTTAACTTTTAAAAGTTTTAAGTATTTTGATTCTGGCGGTATACTGCTAATATTTAATATCCTTTTCTTTGAATTTGTTTTTCAAAGCGTTTCCACTTTGAAGTACTTCAAAAAAAAAAATAAATAAATAAATTAAAAATGTTTATTATACAACAAAAGCTTTTGATAATTGAGAAAACAAACTTACGTGTATCAGTGTTTACTGTTAAAACTGTTTATCATAAAATTGTTTTTTTCCTATATTTTTTTTTCTCATAAATATTTTTAAAAAAACATTAATTAATTTTGAAAAACATAATATTTATCAAAAATTACATCATGAATGTAAGTTATTTATTATTAATTATGTATGTCATTATTAGTAGTTCTATTATTTATCAACACGCTACTTATCATCGAAATAATATGTCACTTATATGTCATTTTTAAACTGTCCCATTCTTTACCCTGTTTCTGTACATTCGATGTTAAGATACGTACAACAACATAAGTATTTTTTTCAACTTTTTTTTAAAACACCAAAATATAAAAATAAACTTTTGACACTTGGAAAGCAAATATTTGATAAAATTGGTTTTATTAATAAACTATATTAACTGATTTATTAAACTTTAACGATTAAGGTAATTTAAGTAATGAACCAAAATTGACCACCAATAAAATAAAAATAATTAATATCAATATTCAATAATTAAAATCGTGATTTATACTAGGATAAAATAAACTTATAAATGTCGAAATATTTTAAAACTGAAAAAAAAACGAGAAAAAATCTTGAAAAATAACACAAGTCATCGAAAATAAAAGTACATAAGCTTTTTTTTTTTTCATCTGTTCATTAAAATTACTTGTTCCAATAAATCTTGTAATATCTTTTTAAAAACTATTAGTTTTATACACATATTAAGTTCTACTATTAGGATACATAGATATATCTATTGTATAGACATATAATTTAAATACTTGATGATAAACGTATTTAAATGTTTTAAATATTAATAAATATGGGTAATATGACTAATCAATTTGTTTATAAAAATTAATGAATGCGTGGTTATTAAATTGTCACGAATTTTACCAACAAATTTTAACACGGTAAGAAAGCAATGTATCTGTATGATCACATCATATATAATTTAAAAAAAAATGTGTTAGGGTCACTAAAAGTCTTTTTTCAGCCCTTATATACGTTTATCCAACTAAATATTTATATCTCCGTCTTTGCGTGTATTGTAATATGTTATTTATATTATATTTAGTATTATTTGCATGGATCGTTATTATATAGTTTATGTTTTTTTTGCATGTTCAAATACATACTAATACGAAACAAATAATATAATATATATTTTTACCTACACGCAGTTCATATATGGGTGTAGACATCAATTGTTTATAAGTTCCTACATGTATGATGTTAGTTTTAATAATATGCAGATGTTAGTTTTAATAATATGCAAATAACAGCAAGCGCACTACAGTAGTTGATATTATAATGTAGTGATTTGTATAGAAACAATTAAGTGAACTTACATTTATAACAGTATTTATAGTTCGATTAAGGTTTTATTATTTTTATCATAAAAATATTTTCATAATTAGGTTAATAAATAATGAAATAATTTACAGTTACATTTTGTAGATTGAAAAATAATTTTTTATTATGTTTTGTATATACAATAAAATTAAGCTTAATTATGATTATAAAAATTAAAAAGTAATCTGTTTATTATGCCGTGTGTTTTAATTTAATTAAAACTTAAGGTTAATGTATTAAAAATAAAAACAATTAGTCACGTTGGGTTATAGACAGTAACAAATATACAATTTTCAATTTTCCATATTTATATTATAAATTTATAAATTAATTTGTAATATAACTTAATTAGACAAATTAATTTAATATAATAACATTCGTTTTGAATTTATTGTATTTAATATTTAGTTATACATTTTCCTAAATTTTATTAAACACTAAAAATAGATTATTTTTATCTCATCTGGACCAAACTCAATATATTATTATCATACAAATATTTGAAGAAAAAAAACCAGATACCTACTTTTGTCATAAATAACTTTTTGACAATTCATAAATTAGATTACTGTAAATTGTTACATATCAATAAACACTAACACTGACTTTTTGAGAATTGCTTTACATTGAAAATAAGATAAATTAATATGAATTATATGTTACAGTTCATAAGATCAACCGCAGGTCCAGGCGATAATGAAGATAAAGTTTAGAGACAACATGTGGTAATAACGTCATTTTTCAACAAAATATTGAACATTTTTTTTAAATATATAATAAATTGTATGTTTGTACAAATCTATCACGTATAGACTTTCCATTTGCAACACAATAATAAACTAATTTGAGAGTTTGTATTTAATGTTATTATTACGATTCTACCTACGTTTTTTTTTTATTATTATTCATAATTACATTATTATGTACAGTTATTGTTAAATATTGTATTTATGTAGCTTATAAAAATGTATAATCAGTTACTCTAATACGTGCATTATTAAATTAAATACATAATATTTGTAAATTATACCTAATTAAAAAGCGAATTAACAATATATATACTTTTTGTTCAAACGACTTGAGTAATTTAATGTTGTTGACCGCATAAATAATTATCACGTCTAAATATACAATAAATATATAACTATATTATAAAAGCTTTAAAAATTATAATTACCGCCATTAACCTGAATAAATATTTATGTCTGATTTCTTTTTGTTTCAAAGATCTACTTTTTCAAAAAGAAACTTGAACATACAATTCTAAAATCATACATTTTCGAAAGAAAATCAAATTAGCTCGCAATTTTTAAGGTGATAGTAAATTTTGGTTATTGAACCCGTCTAAGTTTCATTATTTAAAACATTAAAGTTAATTTATTTTTGCTATAAACAAAATTTTACGTAAAACATTCATAATAATTATAAAATATATGCGCTCTGGAATATATTTACACAGGATGATGTTAGAATAAAGACACTTTACCCGAGAAATTATTAATACATTTTGTCTTTTCACTTGGGTACCATGCATCAAACAAACATAATTTATAAATTGCATGTTATGTGAAAATAATTAAAATTCGGAACTGTAATAGGACCCCTAAATTACATCTAAAATTTAATTATTTAAATTATCTAACTAATCGGTAAATATTAAACTTGAATAGAAAAATCATAAATTAAAATGAGTTCCAGTAGAGTACACATAATAAAAAACAATTAATAATCAATTAAGTACATTACTACGGTGTTATATGGACCATTTAAACATAGTTAATCTGTATAGGTAACAATAATTAATAAATATAGGAACATAATAACATAATTTTTCAGTTAACTAAAATTAAAAATACATGTAAAGGAAACGTACATTAATTAAATTAGAGCTTTTAATTTAAATGTGTTTTGCTCAAATTATGTATGCATTCTTTGCATAATAAAGTATTGTTTTATTTTTTTTTTTTTGAATAACAGTAATAAAATTTAAAAGTTATTTTAACCAACACAGATTTTATTTTATTTTAAAATTTATTAAAAAATGAAAGGAATTTATTTATTTTAAAATAATATTAAACCATACTGCCATAATTTTATTTTAACTGATATAAAATTCTTGCTTAAGTGGCAGATGGCAGTACATAAGTAAGTAATTTACTAATTTATTAACAGTGTAGTATAAATAAATGTAATAATTAATAATTTAATTTAATAATATGATAAACAAAAATAATAATATGTATATTATAATTTATTAGGTTTTCAATATAAACTAACACAACGATGACTTAAAAAAATACAACTAGATATTTACAATATGTCTAAATTTAAATATTAATTTATACATAATATGATAATTATGCAATATGCAGATATCCTGAAATACATATGCACGCAAACAAACAACTTCACGTTCATAAATTCTTGCTACATAAACACAATAAAGTACATAAAATAGTATCTAAATTTAAATATTATAAAACAAATACTTAAATAAAATTTAGTGGTTTTATAATTATTTATTTTGACCAAATTTAATATTTCGATTCCGTACAATCAATAATAATATTTATAACTTATAAGTTAATTAATAACTATTAATGCATAATCATATAATTCAATGAATATATATAAGTTTTTAATTATACTTGAAACAATATAAAATAATTTATTTCACCAAATATTTACTTTTAATTTGAAAAAAAAAAAATTTAATTATTTTAGTCACATTAAATAAATTACATACTAACGAAAATTATTGATACTTTCATAATATACACCATTAGATATATATTACAATTATATACATAAAACTTTATTTTACACAAGAGATTTTCAAATTTCAAAGTTGAATTTATCGTGAACAGAATAGATTTCATGTTTTAATTTTACACCAAAGTATTTGGCTCTCAGTTATTGTTTTAAACTTTATACATTACATAGCTTTTGCAGACTAAAACTTGTAGCGTACACAGTTTGTGGATTTATTATAAAAAGAATAAATAGTTTGTCATTGTTAAAGTGAAACAAAGTAATTCGGCTTAAAAAAAAAAAATTTAGTTAAATTGTTTTAAAGTAGACATATATATAATAGTATATTTCAATTTACAAAAACTTTTTAAATGTGCGTTTTAAAACACAATTTTTACATTACAAGTACCTAATATTTAAAATTACATTTATCAATTAATAACAATTTATAATATTATATTATATTTTATTATTGATATAATTATCGCTTATAGCCATAATCACTATAATTTTAAAATATCTAAATTCATTTATATAGCAAAAAAACTAATATATATTATAATTTAACATAAAATATGATGAAATTGCTTATTATAAGACTTTAAGTTTAAAACTACATAACTGTAAGTAATCAATTTGAATAACAAACTATATATGTCGTGGGAGTACATTCAACCAATTATTTGGTTAAATATTTTACTTTGAACATAGTTTTGTCAATTATTCATCGACAAAACTTTTAGACATTAAACATTTTTCGTAAAATCTAGGTTGATATTTCTTCTCATTATAAATATATGTTTACTGAAAAGTATTTGTTAAATTTTAAGGTTTTTCAGTAAGACCTTTAATACTTGCAACGATACACATTGCAATTTTCATAAAATATAATGTATTAGTAAATTACAGTTATTTAACTGATGCTATACATATTTCAAAAATATATTGCTATTGACAATATTAACAATCTAAAGATAAATTCAATAGCCAGACATATGTTTTATGACTAAAAAACTTATATTTATAATAAATGATAATAATATTATTTTATAGAAATTTACAAAGCACAAATCTTAAAATTTAAAAATATTCAAAGGTTTTAAAAAAAAAAAGGATCAAACATCACTGTGATTTAATTTAAAATAGTGTCGATTAATCATATTTAAATATTTTTTGTTCGTTTTAATTTTTACAATACCATCTGATTGTTTAAATCTACACTGAATAACCAGTAATCTGTTGATGATGTGCATGTTATATTTTTTTTTTTTAAAAATAAAAAAAATGAATGCCTATTGTATTTACAATAAAACAAAATGTGGAATATTGTGTAATAAAATAAAATATTTAATGGGAATTTTTTTTTAATTTAATTATTCCAACAGCGATGTACCCATATTGCCTATACAATGAGCCGTTATACAGTATAGGACAGTATTTGGTAAATTGTCTATCTGTGATCAGCTAAACTTAGAAAAGTACTCAAATATTATTATATATTATTATAAATGTAAGATTAAAGATAAACCAAAAAAAAAGCTCATCGAAGTTTATACTTTGTAGTTCAAAATATAGGTTTTATTTAAATATTTTAATTGTAAATATGAAGATAAATTATTGGATATAGTATGTTTTGAATACAAATTTTGGTCCTGAAAATATGAAACTAAAACATTTGTACAAATTGCAGTTTAACTTAAAAAATAAGATTAACCAAAAAAAATAAACTTTTTTCCAATTTTATCTGAATCCGTAAACATTTTGTTGGAGAATAATAATTATTAAAAATAACTCAATAAACGATATGTTAACGTACTTTATTATTCATTCTAATAAAGGTATGATATTCAACAGTTGCTGTAACCATTAGTAGCCAATTAAAGTGTCACATAAACTTTCTAATTTGATCCTTACAGCCAATACGCACAAACGATAATTATTGATCTTATTCTTATATATTTACTGCTACTATGATATTTATACTTTGTATGTTTATCATGGTTATGATAACAATACTTAAAGTTTAGTCACCCGTCATCAATCACACAAAACTAGACTTAAAAACAACAAACTGATAAAATAAGACAATACAAACCATAAAGCAAAGTAAGTATATTTTTATAATATCAATAATAATTAGAATAATATTTAATGATATGACAATATTTCTTCTTCGTACATAAACTAAAACTACTTAAGTTTTCTATAAAATAGCTCTCATTTTCAATAACCACTTTTTTAACTAAAAAATGAAATTATAAGTATATAATAGTTGTTTTATAAATTTTCCTGTAATACAGATGAATCACTAAGAATTCTCATGCCAACTTTTTTTTAATAATTATTTATTTTAACTTTAATTTTAGAATTTTCAAATATACATATTACCATATTTTAATTATTTAGAATTTGTACTATTTAAAGAATATCCTGCTGTGAAGTAGGGTCCATTTTTTTAAATGAAAACAAAATAACTTTTTTAATGTAAATTAAAGATTTTTTGAAGAATGTTTATGTATTTAAATAAAAATTTTAGCTTGCAAATTCTATATTATTGAAATGTATAATATTCCAATGTCTTAGCAGGTGCCACTGTTAAGAAGTTTCCATTTCTAATAAATATTATTGTCAAATTTCATCAAAATTACTTATTTTACTATTGTGAATAAGTTTTAAGTATACTTTGTTTAGTAAAAAAAATAAATAAATAATATTCTTTAAAAATAGTTTTACGAAAATATAAACAAACGTAATATTGAAATTAGTATTTATAATATCCTTTCTTGAATTATAAAATGTTGAATAAATGACAAATATTCATTACTAAAATTTAAAAATTATTATCATTAGCTCTAGTATTTCAAGCCCATTATCATAAACCTATTATTTTAACTACATATAATTAAACATTTCAAGAATACTCGGTAAAATTCTAATTTACGCATATTCACATTTTCATAAAAGACATCTGATTAACAATTTAAAGATGAAATAGATGATTCTTAATTGAAACTGAATTTTTGTATTTCCAAGTAGCTTAAATATGCTTCAAAAATATAAGCCTAAAGTATACTAAGAAATTTCAAAAATCAGAACTTGAATAAATTAATTAATTAAAAAATACA